ACTATCCAGATGCAGTACAAAGAATATATAAAAATAGATATGGTATGGTGCACCTTTAGCTGTGTCAAACTTGTATTATAAGCTTAAGCAAAACTATTAAAGAAAATAATATAAAAGCGATAATAAAATAAATACAGGCATACATGCATTCTCATGTCGGAGAAAATGCTTGCAGTATTATAGCTTGCCTGCTTTAAAAACCTACCGTATTTAAAAATGGGCCCTCATCGGCTTGTGATTATAAAATCATTACCTTTTGTTGGTGGAACCAGAAAACAGTGAAACCTCATACCAAATTTATTTTCTTGTTTACACATTCAGAATTTTGTTTTATAACCTTTTGATAAAACAATTTTTATATTTGTAGTGCAATCTGAATTTTGACGTAATTAAACAATGTTTTATAGGCTATTTATATTTGTTTTTCTTTCTTTATTTTTGTATTTTGGCCAAAAAAGTGGACCAGGAATTCCATACATATTCGGTGGACAATAAAAGATTATCTTATAAATTCCACCTGGCCTCGCAGGGGGCCCTTTGTCGGCTCTCTTCTCCCAGCCTAGTTGCTCGCTGCGCTCGCAAGGTTTGACCACCCTCACATTTTACCCTGGCTGCGCTCCTGAGTCGTCTCATTAGGCCTATCTCTTTTTCTAATAAAAGTACAGATAAACCGGGCCGTAATTTTAATAATTAACAGCACTACTCTAGTAAGAACAGTTTTTATAACCTTTTTTGTTTTGTTTTATAAACAAACACACCGTAGTCACACACAAACATGCCAGGAACGTACATCACAATGTATAAGACCTGTCTCTTATACACATCTAGATGTTCCAATCTGCAGACAGTACCGTTTCGATCTTGTTAGATCTCATCAGTGCAGCTCAGGATTTTTAAGAATGAAACACACCACTGACTCAAACATAGCTTGGGTCAGTCTTGTGTGACGTGGTACACTGAATAACTAGCCCAAGATATTCCCTTGGGCTAGTTATTAATTATAGCCTAGATTGTTTGGCCAAGTTCAATAACGCCGGAATGGTATATTTTAATATTATTATTTAATATTTCTCTTATGCACTCTATTTCATGCTATATATATATATAATACATCATAATCAATATAAAGCACTAACAAATTTCCATTTTTTTCAATCATAAACGTTTATAACTGTACATTTGATTCATTGCATAACATCATATTCGCTTTTTCAATTTATATAGTTCATTTCAAAAATATTCAGGCATATACCGTACAGTAGGCCTACTTGACAGAGGATTAAAAGGTTGTGTATCCGATGTGGTGGACAAATGCCTTAGCAAAAAAAAAAAAAAACAGACTTGATGATGTGGTACAGTAATTTGGATGGAATTAGTGGTAGGCCTACTAGATATTCACAAGAGCAAGGCTTTTTGAATGATATAATTTTAATTGACCTGGCATCCAATTTTGTTGGTTTTGAAATGACCATTAAAAAAAAAAAATTTTAAGAAAGTTATTTCTGAGGACAAAATTATGCTAAATTATGCCAGCACACATGCTAGATGCTAAACGGGTTAAATTATGCCAAAAAGCATAATATGCTAGGTCTGGTCACTATAATACGGTAGGCCTACTGTACGGTATCACGCCGCTGACCAGACACAATTAACGGTTTGTTGATAGTGTCTATGGCAACAATTAGTGTTGAGGGCGCTATTTTATCATTGATAGTTTTAAGGAACACAGTCAATATAGCGGCGTCTTATTTTTCCCAAATATATTAGGTCTATATTCAAGGAATATATAATATTCGTATTGAACGATGGCAAAATCAGTTGTTGATCACGGCGTAGTGGGAGGATCCTGCTCATCAAGCTCAGTGGGCCTGCCGTCTATTTCTTTACCTCACATCACGCACCATCCCGACTCTTGGACCAGGGTTGCAACCAACAACATGCACCTACGGAATCTCCATCAAGTCGATCCCTTCCGGGTAAAAACACGATTGGACTTTCTTATCTGTGTTTAGACTAATTACATATCGTACTCATCATTGTTGATGTTAAAACAATGATGGATAGGCCTACACTCCTTACTGAGATGATACACGGTAAAAGGCATACTACACATCAACTTTCTTTTTAAGAAGGGTTCTTGAGGTAGGGTAGGGGACTCCTACATGAATCAGTCACACCTTGCTGGGTGTCTATAATAAAACCAAGACCCACATTTTTTTCTCTCAATCGAGATGAAAATAAGGGGAAATAGCACAAAAGATATTCCCTTGGGCTAGTTATTAATTATAGCCTAGTATTGTAAATAGGTTCTTGATTACAAGGCTTAGGCCAAGGTAATTGATGCTGAAATTATTATTATTATTATTATTATTTAACATTAATTACATTACAAGGATTGTTTGGCCAAGTTCAATAACGCCGGAATGGTATATTTTAATATTATTATTTAATATTTCTCTTATGCACTCTATTTCATGCTTCAATTTTTTCCCACTTTTTTTTCAAAACTTCAATCAACGTCATGTGAAGCGTGAAGGTTGGTGTCGGCCTAGGACCATAGGGACCTAGGCCTAGCAACAAAAACTTTGAATTCATAAACTCATTTCATAATTCATTCATTCATAAACTTGTTCAATGATAAAACAGTAGGAATGCTGCATAGTAGTCATGACGCATATGTGCAGCATCGGTCATTTGGTAGTGACACCAACATAGGATGGATGAGATAATTAAGGGTCTTCGCCAATGAAAATAAATATTAGTTTATCACCCTACCTGAGCTGGAAAAGTGATGAGAGAGGGAGGCTTTTTATTTATTTATTTTTAAATTATTTTTCTAAAGCCAAATACCACATATGGGTTGTTTTGCTGGTTCAATATTCACAGTAAAATACATGATTGAGGTAATACAAACAATAGGCCTATCTACTAACTACTTACTAAAACAAATGAAAAATAAAAAAATAAATTGAAAAAAAAAAATAAAAAATAATAAATGTTATTTTTACGCGCGAGGGTGATAAACTAATCATTTTTTTATTAGGCCTTATAGACACCCTATATGAGTGTCTACAAAACGAAGATCCGAAAAACGAAGACCCACATTTTTTTTCTCTCAATCGTGATGAAATAATGAAATATGTACTTAGAAATTGTTTTATGATAATTTTGAAATACTTTTAATAAGATAATTGAGAATGGGATGGTCTTCGTTTTTCGTTTTGTAGACATCATATAGGGTGTCTATAAAACGAAGACCTTTGAAATTTCACAAACAGACGGCCAAAAAAATCGTAATTTTGATTGTGACAGCCTGGGGTATTATCAAAATAAAAGAGAAAAAAATAGGGGTCTTCGTTTTTAGGTCTCTGGTCTTCATTTTATAGACACCCACACCCTGCATATTTCTGGTTACATCTTCCGGATAAACACGATAGGCCTATGCCTACTTTTATGTGTTTAGACTAAATTTATACAGTATCGTAGTCATTTTCTTTTAAACAGATACGAGTCCGACGGTAAAAGTACTCGATAAATCAGTTTGTAATCTCTACAAACTTTTCTTTTTAATGTGTCAATGAGTGTATTATTAACAGGCATTAAATCACCTAAACTAAGCGTGTTTATAATTAGTATTTTTGTTTCTTTGAAATTCATGTACAGTGTATGTACTAAGGTCGAAAAGAAGCCTATGCTATTTTAAATAGAAGCCTATGGGCTTCTTTTCGAGGCTAAATTTGCAATCTATAAGACCAGGCTTCAATTCGAGATGGCCTTCTTAAGATTAAGCCCATTGGGCTTCAATTCGAGGTTTTACGTATTAGTTATCATCATGCGTATTGTCATGCCGGGGCAGAGGCGCGTGGATGGCGACTCCCAAATGTAACCCCTTACTCTTACAGCGCATCACCTCCAGTCACCCATATCTTTTATTGTGTTTTGACTTGTAAACATACACTTTCAGCAATTGGCTGCTGTTATGTATCGTTATGTATACTGTACCATTAATAAAAATAGATCTAGAGAATAATTCATTCAGATTGTCGTACCAATATTTCCAATTGATTTCGGTTCCATGATTAAGCCTTTGGTGCTATTACAGGCGAAAATTCGAATACATTTCCAAATAATTCTTTACTCATCACCAAAAATTTATTTGAAATTATAGATGTTTTTAAATCTTTCAGGCATGGCAATGTGACATACAGAGTCAGATTTCTTGTATTTCGGAGAAATTGGTAAGTTGTTAATTGGTACAACAAAATAGGCCTACACTCATTGTGAAAGTTAGCTTCGTCTACTCCCGGTTGTTAGCAAGTCGCTCCTTGCGTTGCTCGTCGCTGAACGATAATAAGTATACGTAGGCCTACTCAAAACAGTGTATATACCCCTACCCCCCAAGAAACCATTACCACACATTTTTTTTTCTTTTTTCAGAGGTCATCTCTTGAAGAGAACCCCATTCCTGGAACCAACGTTTCACCTTATGCACCAGTACAGCATGACTTTGAAGAAACAAGACTTACATACACTCGCAAGACAACGCCCCAGTTAAGAAATGCGCTTACATTTGGTCAAGGACGAGCATAAATATTGGCCCTTTTGCTAAACACAATTCAATCAAGTTGCATTGTTTTGGGTTAAATTCCAGCCTTTGATTATATATATATATTCAATTACGCAAAGAAGTTGCCATGAAAATCGGACCCACGCGATCGAGTGTCAAAAATGAACACTGTCCGAAGAATATAGGGCCTACACAAGACTATCGCCAAATGATTTTCCTTAAGAAAAAGATTTTAGAAGCAAAGCAAAAATAATAATACAGTATTAGTGCATTGTTTTATCTTAATGTGGGTGTGGTTGTTTTGGGTGTGGGCGCTAGTACAGCCTGTATGCATAATTGCTTGAATGTTTTATCGGGCTTCCGTTTTGCATTTCAGTGTGTTACATTGGTTTGTTTGTTTTTTTTACCTATGTTACTAAATTTTAATAATTAATAAAATCTTGCGTTATACAGTGACGTTTAACACTGAATATTATTAGTTACCAACGTGTTTCATGTACAGTATATTAATGTAAATTTCCACACAAGGGTGGGGCTACAAAAAGATTACAGAGATCAAGGCTTGTCTGTTCTTAAGAAGCCCGGGTGTCAGTACAGTTACATGTGTGTGTGGTTATTGTTCCATTATCTACGTAAAACAAAATCCATTCAAAATGATACTGGCACTGTGCACTTATAAAGATTGAAGAGAGTAGGGGAAGTCAACCTGCGCCCTTTAATTCGTGAAAAATGAATTTAAAGGGCAAAGAAAAATACAGTAAAACTTTCCCAATTCGTCTTTGCCTAACTCATCGCATAATTTCTAAGTCAATCTTATTCTACATGCCACATTTTTGTGTATTCCATTAATTAACGATCTGTAAAGTCAAATTTTATCCGAGTCAAACAATTTTTCAATGCCATTTTGGGATTCGACTTAGGCAAGTTCAACTGTACATTCAAAATTAATCCTACGACTGCCATTTCCAGACACCCAGAGGTGTCATATTTGAAACCTCAGCTAGGAATGAGGTAGGACTAAGGTGGTCTCTAGACTATTTATCTAGCCCCACCCCGCAGTACTATACAGTAACCTGCCTTTTCTTACGAAGGGCAAAACAATAATATTCCGAGAAAAAGCAACACAGTAATAAAGAGAAATCATACAATAAAAACATTAAACCACTAAGGATTCGTGACATTTAGTGTAAAGATCAATCGGATCATTCCAGTTTTTTACACACAAGGAAACTAATACTTTTGAACTACCTTATGATGATGTAGTATTGTACAATACATAGAAGAGTATCTTGTAAAGGAAGGCGACAGATGCAAGAGTTCCCAATACAAGCAGATAGCAAAAAAAAAAAAATTTAAAAAAATGTAGCTACTCATCAAATTATTTAATTACAGTAGTTGTATTATTAATGATATATGCAAGAAACTTGTAGTATAGCAGCTGCTGCAGCGGCACCAGCAGGGGCCTGTGGAGGGGACAAGGTCCTCCACAGGAGATGAAAAAGAAAGAGCTAAGCGAGTGGAGAGGATTTAACCGCCAGGCAGTGGCGATAGGACTTCCCTTTGGGAAGAAGTCGATCATTTAATTGGGCAATACTGCAGTTAAAAAAAATTATATATTTTTGTCTTATAGAGTGCCATTTCAGGCAATTTACAGCTGGAGGTGTACACCCCCTGTCAGTGGTGGCACCAGAGGGGGGGGGGGCTGGGTCAATGAGACTAATTAAAAATAATTTGCATTCTGTTATGACAAATGCTCATTTAGAGAGCCTCATGATGGTTGGAATACATCGTGATAGGTGAAGCAACATCGACCATGACAGCGTGGTTGACAGATTTCATACAAAATTTCCAAAATATAGAATTTCACTTTCAAGAATGAGGATTTGAAAATAAATTAGATGGTTATATTGCATACTCTTTGTTTCTTGCTTTATTCAAAATGTTTTGGTTTTGGAAGCTAATCTCAACATTAGAAATCATAGCCTACATGAAGTCATATTATAGTAACTCGATGCCTATCAAATAAGTAATAAAAATTCGCCATAATTCAACAAATATCTGCAGCTTCAAGCGGGCTTCTCCCCCTGGACCCCGCCCTTGGACCCCACCGGGGGGGGGGGGGGGTTAGCGGCCCCCCTGGCCCCCAGCCAAGTGAGAATCAATTCGCTCCACTAGCCTCCCCGTTGGGACCTTTAGCCCCTCCGTGGGGCAGATCCTGGCGCCACCACCCCCTGTCAGGAAACTTTTCCTTTTGATGGGGTATTTTTAGTGCTGCAGTAGTACAGAGCAAGGCTTATCAGAATGTTTCATTGTAGTTTCTGCAGAAGAGATCCAGTAATGTTATAGAATGAGCTAGGGGAACAGACAACATAATATTGCAGGTAATTGTTCTCTCTTCAAGCTAATTGTAAAAGTTGAGCGAAATAAAAACCCTTGAAATATATTTGTGTGCTGTACATTTCCTCCCTTTCATCGTTTACTTTTAATCTTCCTATTCCAGAATAATATCTACTGCCTTCTCTTCACCTAACCCTCACCCCTTCTCTTTTTTTAGCCAACCCTCAAACCTGATTTCTCTATCCTAATTTCAACCCTGCCCACTCTTCACCTATTCTCAACTGTTTGTATCTCAACCCTCACCCCTGTTGTCCCTCCACCCAAATCTTCACCCTTGCCCTCCATCCCAATCTCATTCTGCCCTATCGCCATCCAACCCTCACCCTTGTCATATTTCCATCTGACATTAATTACATAAATACTGTATAGTACATAACGTTGCTTGAAATTTTTGAAATTCAGAATTATGTTCTAGCAAATAAACCAATTTTCATTATATTAAAATAGTTGTTCAGATATTTCTGAGAAAGACAGTCAATATGAAAACATAATATACAAGTTTTGCTAATTCCTTTGATGATTTATCCTGTTGTAATTCCTCCCAAATCATCCCCAACACACCACGAGACAGCCTGCCAAATCCACAGGAGTCCAACACCATCCCGCAAACATCGCCACGCCAACTACTGCCTAAACACCACTCCAATCGAGGCTGCACCTCCAACCACCGATTACTGTCTAAACACCAATCCATCGGAGGCTGCCTTACTACTGCAGCTCCAATCGCCTACACACCACACCACCGGAGGCTCCTTCTCTACTGCACGAGTTGCCTCGCCCACTATCAGTCACCCCCGAGAAAACGACAGCGTTTCTATTTCACAAGTCGAAAATCGCCTACGCTGCAAGCATGACACCTAACAGGCTGTTTTCAAGACACGCCTCCTATATCAGTGAAAAAAATAAGACCGATTAATAAAGCAATTGCATTTTATTAACACATTTTCAAAAACCATGGAATCACAAACACACATGCAGGTCCTTAATAGTATACATTAGTTCACTAATTATTATTATTTTTTTTTAAACTAACATATATACATATTTATCAACACAAAATTTATGACTGACCAAAATCTAGAAAGTTAAAGCAAGTATTTTAAAATGTCTAAAACCATCCACTTAATCATACACAATCTTGCAACATATCTTCAAACATAGATTATTCACAGTAGTACTGGTAGTCCTATTAGACGCCAACCTGCATTTACTAAGGGGTTTTTTTTATGCTTTTGTGATGATTTTTTTTTAATTATTATTATTATTGTAATTGGAAATACTAGACCTAGCTAAAAGGGTTACCAGGCTATTAAATATTATTGTTAAAATTATAGTAATACTGTATATAGATAATTACAGAAGTTTATATGGCTTCTAATTACTGCAATTTTTCACTAATTCTACTTTTGATTGTGGCCACAGGTGAAGTATGTCTATGGCAAAAAAATTACACTATTGCTAAACATACTGTATCATAGAAACAAATTTTGTTAATAATAATAATAATAAGATTTATAAAGCACACAATTCCACTGCAGTAGTGCTCAAGGCACTCCATAGAGTAGCAAAATAAATGTGGCTACACAATAAAGCAGATTATAATTATATACATACTATTACAACACTAATTGGCCGCAATAATTTACCATCACCTCATTTCAGGGTTTTCAAACTTGTCGATCGAATATTAATAAAGCTTTTCATTTAACTAGGGGTACTTTAGCAAGTAGGATCTGTCCACACTATAAAATTGTATGTGATAAATTTATGAAATGTGCCTATATATAGGCATGATGACATCATATTATGACCAAAAATATCACATTTATTTGTCACATAAAATATAATAGAGTGGGTAAGGCAAAATAAAATCTTTTTTTTTCTTTTTTTTTTATTTCATTTACTTAGTTTTCCCTCACCTCATGTCTTCCAATTTAATGAATGTTAATAAAGCATATTTGTGGAATTGGAGGCAACAATACCCAACCAATTGAAATTGAATATTTTTAAATAAAAATGTTATCTATTGAATTCATTTACTGTTTACCATCACTCCATTGTAATGTATTTTTAAATTTATGAATATTATTAAGCTGTAAATGATTGGGAAACATGCAAAAATGATGTAATTGTGAAATTATAAACAAATAAAACACAAAAAACAAAAAAAACTGTTTTTCTTCATGATGTACACAAGCCATCAATTTAATCTGCAGAGAGTGACCGAGAACGTGACCTCTGTGGAGTGACTGACCGACTGTTGCTGCGTGAACGCTTTATGCTGGAACTGCGAGTTCTACTTCGATCCCGAACAGGTGAACGACTTCTTGAATGCGATCTTGACCTCCTACTCTTTCTGTATGGTGATCGTGAACGAGACCTGTGAATTTCGGGAGAAATCTTGTTAAATCATTCATGTATTAAATGTAAGAGTAAGAAGAAAGATACAAAAAACTGTATGAAAAGGTATGATTATGCAGATAACAGTTGCACACTACCTGTATTCTAATACAAGTCTGGCACTTTATAAGGTCATCAGATGCATCTAAACTTTTAAATCATGTGCTAAATCAAATTACTGTTATTATATTTTCCTCAATTAAAGTAAAACTCTCAGTTAATGCACTTTACTTCATGATTCAATAAAGGTTTGCAACGACTCAAACTGTGACAAATGGGTACAAGGTTATACCAGCAATTTATTCTGTCCGTAATATTTTAGTGCAAAGCTATACAATATTTTTTCCATAAAATAATGTGAATTTCATTTTCCAGTCATAGCATTAAGTAAAATAAGCTCTATTACAAAATATTTAGATCAACAGCCACAGAGCTCACTTCATGCCTTTATAGCCTCACTGGTTGAGTCATCGGCAACTAAACTGAAAAAAAAAAGTTCTCCACTCGGAGTGTCTTTGAGGCTGCTGAGGGGAGAGTGTTAAGTCACCCAGCAGAAAGAAAAACAACAGCTGAACAAAAGGCAGATGAGCTCCGCGAAGTCAACCATAAATTAGTTCAAGGAATAGGGTAGTTTAGAGATATTATTTATTGTTACTATTACTATTTTTATTGT